AGCGTTCAGGTGCAGGAAGCGGGGGCACACTCCCCACCTCTCTCTCCCAGGGAGAAGCTGACCTAAAATCTCTCTCTCTCTCTCTCTCTCTCTCTCTCTCTCTCTCTCTCTCTCTCTCTCTCTGAGACAGGGTTCTCTGTGTAGTTTTGGTGCCTGTCCTGGAACTCCGCTCTGTAGACCAGGCTGGCCTCCAACTCACAGAGATCCTGAGTGCTGGGATTAAAGGCATGTGCCACCACCGCCCGGCCTAAAATCTCTTTATCTGACTATAGGGACTTTCATATCAACAAGATGACTTCTGGGGTGACTTCTAAATTAGGGGAAATCTTACATGTCAATCTCTGCTCTTTCTGTGACCCACAAAGCAATGTGGACAATGAGAGACTGAAATACTGGAAGAGTGCCCGGGAAGATGGCTCTGTCTAGAGGCCCTGAATTCAGATCCTGGTTCCCACATAAGAAGCTCGGGCAGCACATCTGTCATCCCCAGGCTGCAGGCAAGAGAAGAGAGTTCTCGGGACTTGCTGGCCAGTCTGCAGAATCAGCGAGCTCCAGGACAGTGAAAGACACTGTTTTGAGGGCTGGCAGGATGGTTCAATGGGTAAAGGCACCTGCCGCCATGCCTGAGGACCTGAGTTCGATCACCGGGACACACAGAACTGACTTCTGTAAATTGTCCTCTAACCCGACCTGTGCAGCCACTAACACACATAATAAATACATAAACATAATAAAATGTCTGTAAAGTTAGAAAGGCTAGAGATAGCTCCGGGTTAAGAGTGCTTACTGCGCCGGGCGGTGGTGGCACACGCCTCTAATCCCAGCACTCACTATCTCTGTGAGTTCGAGGCCAGCCTGGTCTACAGAGTGAGTTCCAGGACAGGCTCCAAAACTATACAGAGAAACCCTGTCTCAAAAACCAAACAAAAAACAAGAGTGCTTACTGCTCTTGCAGAGGACCTGGGTTCAATTCCCAGCACCCACATAAGGTGACTCACAATAACCTGTAAATCGAGTTCCAAGGGCTCTGACACTCTATTCTGGCCTCTTCAGGCACATGCATACACTTGTGTACATATATCACACAGGCATACACACACACCCATAATAAATAAATCTCTTCCTCCTTCTTCAGACAGGACCTCTGCCTCTGAAACACTGAGATTAAAGGCATGCGCCACCAATGTCCTTCCTACTTTCTATTTAAATTTTTTGTTTGTTTTTTGTTTTTGAGACAGGGTTTCTCTGTGTAGCTTTGCACCTTTCCTGAATCTCACTCTGTAGACCAGGCTGACCTCGAACTCACAGAGATCTGCCTGCCTCTGCCTCCCGAGTGCTGGGATTAGAGGCGTGCACCGCCGCTGCCTGGCTAAAATACTGATTTTATGTATTTTGCCTGTATATATGTCTGTACCATGTGTGTGCAATACCCATGGAGGCCAAAAGAGGGCGTCAGATCCCCTGGAACTGGAGTTACAGACAATTGTAAATTGTCATGTGGGTTCTGGGAATGGAACCCAGGTCCCGCAATATTTTTATCCAGTGTTTTTGCCTAGTGCACAGTGGCTCATGTGTATCACCTCAGTTCTTGGAATGCTGAGACAGGAAGATTGATCCAAGTTTCTTGTCTTTAGACCAAATAAAAGCATTTTACCCATACTAATCCTTTCCACCTCTGTCAGCCCCAGATTCTCTAACGAGTCAGTTTTAAAAATGATTTATTATTTTTATGTGCGTTGCTGTTTTGCCTGCCTACATATAAGTCTGTGTGAGGGTGCCAGTCCCCTTGCACTGGAGTTATAGTGTGAGCTGCCACATGGGTGCTGGGAGTTGAACCTGGGTCCTCTGGAAGAGCAGCCACTGCTCTTCCCTGAGCCATTTGTCCAGTCCCCCAGTATGTGCTCTCAACTGCTGAGCCATCTCTACGGCCTTCAATTATCTTGAAGCACTGTCTCCTAGAGCCCAGGCTGGCCTTGAACTTGAATGGAGCCGAGGCCTACCAACCCCTCAATCTTTTTGGTTTTGTGGTTTGTTTTTTTTTGTTTTTGTTTTTTGAGACAGGGTTTCTGTGTGTAAGAGCTCTGGTTGTCCTAGAACTCACTTTGTAGACCAGGTCGGCACCTGCCTCTGCCTCTTGAGTGCTGCTGGCAGGCCTCCACTGCACAGCTTTTTTTTTTTGAGACAGGGTCACATTGTGTAGTCCTGGCCATCCTGGAACTATGTAGCCCAGGCTGGCCTCAAACTATGAGTTCCACCTGCCTCTGCCTCCCAGTGCTGGCACTATACCCAGCCTTTTCATAGGAAAGTAAAACATAATCTGAAGGTTGGCTATCTATACGGCAGCCATACTGGAAGGTGGGCATTCCCTTATTGGCACATTTCACACCAAATGAGCCAGACCAGACACCTAGTCATGTCTCCTTGTCTAGTTTTTTCTTTGTTGTGAGACATCTTACTATGTCTCACAACACCTGGCTGGCTTGGACCCCAGATCCACTAGACCCTGCTGGGGTATGGGCACAACCACCATCTCTCCCTTTCTGTTTTTAATGTCTGTCTTACCCCCTTAGTCTAAGTACACAGACCAGAAACTCCATTTGTAGCCAGGCAGTGCTGGTGCACACTTTTAATCCCAGTGCAGGTGGATCTCTGTGAGTGAGGCCAACCTGGTCTACAGAGTGAGATTCAGGCAGCTAGGGTTATACAGAGAAACCCTGTCCTGAAAAAAACAGAAACTCCATTTATTAGTTCATATGTTTATTTAAGACAGATCTCATATAGCCCAGGCTAACCTTGAACTTTCGAAGTAGCAAAAGATGGCCTTCATCTAATCCTCCCACCTCCAGCTGCTGGGTCTACAGATGTGCATCATGGAGCCTGGATGAGAACTACTTCAATTTGTTGAAGAAAAAACCATGTTTGTTGTCACAACGAAGTCTCTAAGCTGTAGCTTGCTACGCGCCTCCACTGTAGGAGCGCAGTGAATGCGTGCTGAGGTGCACAGGTGAGCTGTAAAACTGGAAACGATGCCTTCAGCTCCTGCATGTGGTCTGTCCTGGTGAGTTAGGGCTTGTGATGGTCAAGCATCAAAACCCATGACCACGGCTACTGCGGCTGTTCAAAGACAGAACCCACCCTCCCACCCAGACAAGGCATTTGCCTAGCAGCCTGGGCGTCAGGATTCCTGGGCCCCACGGATGACTCACAGGAAACCCCAGGCTGTGCCTCCTGGTCTCAGTTTCCCTGAATTGCTCTGTTAGTACTGCCCACCTACTGCGCGGGTATTAATAGGGTGAGGCGCTTTGAACTCCTCAGATGAAAGAGGCTGGGGAAACAGCACCCGGTTATTAGCCCTCCACGGGCAGGCGTGGGAGCTGAGGCCGGCCGCCCTCTTCTGCTCTCAGCTAGGGCTGCCCACACTGGGCAGCAGCCACCGGCCTCCCTCCTCCTTCCTTCACTCTGCTAAACTGCATTCTCCCACTGCCCAAGGCGGAGACCCACCGTCCATCCAGTCGGGACTCATAAACCATGTACAGACGTCTCAACCTTCCCTCATGCCTGACTACAGATTCCATAGGACGATGGCTTTAACTTTTCATCTGTACACATACCAGAGGCGGCACTCCAGAGTCAGCCGAGTAAGCTATGAGGGAGGCAGGCTTTCGACATTTCTATCTTCTTTCTCTCTGGGTTGCTGTAAGTGCCACGTGAAGACCCTAAGTGTGTAAGCTCTTTGTGAAATGCCAAGCCTCAATACATGCAGCTGTAATGAATGGGTCTACAGATCAAACCCGACACAAGCGTCCCTTGGCCATCAGGCTCTTCCGATAGTAAGGGCAAAACTAAGCCTATTGTGCCACCTACTGGCTGAAGGTGCAAACTGCAGTCCCCCAGCTGCACAGGGGTCTCCAGACAACTGTCCTACATATTTAAACAACTCACTTGGCACAAATCTTTAGACACAGGGCTTCCTATAGCCCAGGCTTGCCTAAAACTCACTATATAGCCAACACTGGCCTTCAACTCCTGATTCAGCTGCCTCCACATCTCAAGTGTTGGGATTAGAGGCATGTACCACCACAGAAAATCAACTTTGGTTTTGAAGTAATCTTTTCTTTCTCTTTTGGCAGAGCTGGGGTTGACCCTGGTGCCTTGTGCATGCTAGCTACTATGGAGCCAGCCTCCATCCCACCTTATGTTCATCTCTTCTTTTTCCTTTTTTGGTTTTTTGAGACAAGGTTTCTCTGTGTAGCCCTGGCTGTCCTGAAACTCACTCTGTAGACAAGGCTGGCCTCAAACTCAAGAGATCCACCTACTTCTGCCTCCCAAGTGCTAGGATTAAAGGCGTGTGCCACCACTGCCTGGCTAATCTTTCAAACTTTGACTAATATTAGCTAAAAAACAGAATAAAACCACGTGGGCTGGAGAGATGGCTCAGAGGTTAAGAGCACTGGCTGATGTCCTGAGTTCAATTCCCAGCAACCACATGGTGGCTCACAAACATCTGTAATGAGATCTGGTGCCCTCTTCTGGTGTGCAGGCATACATGCAGGCAGAACACTGTATACATAATAAATAAATCTTAAAAAAAAAAAAGAATAAAACCACCTCATTCACAGGATAAAAATAAAGAAAGCATGAAATGTCTGGCTAGGAAGAGTCGCCTGCAGATGTCTGAGCTTAAAGTCCCGTTAGCCCTGAAGAACGACCCAATCACAGGACAGGAGCTGAGAACACACACTCTACCTTGCTCGCCTGAGCTGAGGCTGCAGGGAACTGACTGACCTGAGCAAAGAAACAAGCGGGGCCTGCTGAGACGGCTCAGCAGGTAAGGAGCCTGCCACCAAGTCCCAGAATTCAGCAGACAACCAGCTGACACAACTTATCCCCACGTCCATTTACACACCCGCCTGCACGCGCGCGCGCACACACACACACACACACACGCCCGCACACGCACAAGCACTAAATGTAATTAAAACCAAAACAAAGAAACAGGACCATCTGCAGACATTCCTTTGTTCTGCTCCAACCCCCTGGTTCCTGAGGCTTGAAGGAAAGTCTGAAGCCCACAAAAAGTAGAAAATAATCTCGTATCAGAGCACATCCCACCACTGCCCAAGTGGAGACAGTCCTCAACTTTCAGGCAGCATTTCGTGGGGGCAGGGCTGGAGCTGGAGGACACCGTTGAGGATGCTATGTCTGCCTTTTTATCCAGAAGTCCTTCACAGGGACGGATGTTTCCTCCCAGCGGGGTCTGTAGTCGGCTGACCGTCATCCAGGCCCAGCTGTTACAGCTGCATGGCTTCCTGCTCTGCCGTCTGGTCCGAGGATGCTAAGTACTTCTCTTGGATGCCCAGAGTGCTGAGGGAAGGTGTGTCAAGGCTTAGAGGACAGGCAGAAATTGGGGGACTGGCCCAGGCAGGATCTGACCTCTACTGATGACCACCATCCAAACACATCTGTCTTCTGCCCTAGTTCCCACAGCTGGATGTGAGCCACCTTCTAGCATCCCTTCCCTGGCGTTCCTGTTTCTTCCCCACACTGCTTAGAACAAAGGACCAGGGAGCACTAGCCCTCCAGCTCTGTGTGGCATATGCTTTAGAGACAGACCAGGGTGTTCAAATCCCCCCCCTGCCACTTCCTTTTTCTCTCGAGGTCATGAGAGCTGTGCCCATGGAGTGGAGAGTACCTCCTCCACACCCGGCACTGACTGGTGCCGTAACTATGGTTACTTCCCTTTCCCCACCATGGCAAAGATCTCCTCCACTGTGCTTGGGCCACAAGGCCGCCCTCCCTCCCTCTGGACACAACACAAGTCAACTCACAAAAGGAGAGGACCAGACACTGCTAACCCTGGCTGCACACGAGCCATAGCCTTGTCCTCTCACCCAGGGGGACACGTGCTCTACCGCCACCATCCGAGCTTCAAGTTTCTGACGACCTTCCTGCCTCAGTTTCCCAAGTACTAGTTTACAGGCAGGAAGCTTCACGCATGGCTCTTTTCTATTTCACTACATCTTTATCCAGTGAGACTTCAAGAACTCTGCTGCCCCTAATTACACCCATTAAGTGCATTTTCCACACTTACAGGGGCTCTCCTAAAATGTGCATCAGCTCTCAGAGAACCGGAGGAAGATCAAGAGTTTAAGACTAGCCTGCCCTACACAGGGGTTCTAGGCCAGCCAGGGGTACAGAAACCCTGTCTCAAAACACCAAAATAAATGCATCCTTTGAGCTGATGTCTACACATACTTCCCACCACTTTGGTGCTGGACGGCATCAAACCCAAGGCCTCATGGCAGTGGGCAAGCATTCTAGCCTGGGTCCACGGCAGCCCTCCATCACTAGCCACATCTCCTTCCCCGTACTCCGGCACCTTCTCCCTGTTCATGCACTACACCAAGCAAACTGAACCCTTGCCCTTCTCCCAACACTGTTTCATGTCTAGGCTTCTGGGCTGCAGTTCCTCTGTTGTCCCTCCCACAATCCCTAAGGATACGAGGAGAAATGAAAGTCAGCTCCCATCGCAGCAGACATCATGGCCTCCAGGCTTCGCTGCTCTTGAACCCCGAAACAGTAGCCGTTGGCTTTATCCACAGCCTGAAGGACTCGCTGGATGCTGTCCTTGTCCTGGGCAGAGAAGAGAAGTAACTCAGTGAGGGAATCAGGTGTGTCGAGCTGAGGCCACGCCCAACTGTTCTAACTCCTCCCACGACAGTTCCATAGACCAGTCCTTGGCCTAGAAGAGTCCATTCCCCAGGGGGCTGGCTAGCCAGACAACTGCCCAGATTAGAAGAGATCGGCTCCTCCTCCATGCAGTCACTGCCTGGGGTTTTCTCCTATGGCAGCATCCCCGCCATCCTAGAATAACTGTCCCACTGCTTACTAGGCCAGGCAGCCTTTAAGGTCAGATGTCAGTGAAGGTCAAGGTACCTCTGTGTCAGGGACAGCACTCCTGTCAGGGAGGCACCCAACAAATACCTATGTTATCTGGCCCATAGTGGTTTCCTCATCCGTCTACAACAGTGAGAACAGTCCACATATCTCAAGGAAGTATACAGATCAAAATAACGCATGCTCAGCCCTCAGCAAGTGCTGACAGGGAAAGGTTTGAGCAGGTGGTGGCTTGTGTGCACACACTCTCCTTCTCACCCAGGAGCCAAGGGCAGTGTTAGAAGGAAAGCCAAGTTAGCTCAAGTCCCCACTGAGAAAGCAATCTGAGACCACCATGTCTCCTGGGTTAATCTGCCACGGGCATGAAGAGAGGGATGGAGGTTGCGGGCTGCTTTGTAAACCCAACATAGTCACTCAGCAAAATGGACCCCAGAATCTGTCCCCTTGGTCCTGGGTCAGCTTCTTGATGGGACTCTGGACTCGCTCACATTCACTCACACTCAGGAGGGAGCATGTGCAGAGACGATTGGTGACTCAGAACTACAGGACTGAAGTCTGGTCTCTGCTTTTTACTCTGATCATGCTCCACTGCTCCTGGTCCTGAAAGCATGCCAAGGACAGAGCCAGGCCACAGACGATTAGGGGAGCCATGAAATCCTTCCATGTCCTTGGTGTGTCAGAGCTACAGTCACAGGGAAGAGCTCTCTTCCTATCTGATACCTGGATGTTCAGCGGGATGAAGGAGACCAGGCTGTAGTCTTCGATGAGCTGGACCAGCTTCTCATTGAGCTGACGGTAATGACTGAAGAAAGGGTCAGATGCCAGGTGCTCAAGCAGGTAGGAGAGGTCCAGGACTTCCGTGTAGTAGTCCAGGTTGAAGGCTAAGGAGAGAAACTGGAGTTAGAAGCTGCTGACATTAAGCTAAAGATCTCAGGACTGGAGGGACTGAGCCATAGCTCAGCAACATGGTTAGTATCTGTAAAGGGCCTGGTTCTATTCCTAGCACCCAAAGGGGGATTAAAAACCATAAGCAGGGGTGGGGATTTAGTTCAGCGGTAGAGTGCTCACCTAGCAAGCACAAGGCCCTGAGTTTTGGCCTCAGCTCTGGGAAAAACAAAACCCTAACCAATAGACTCGAGGCCACGTTCAGCTGCACAGCACTTGCTGGTACATGAGGTACTGGACTCGGTCTCTAGCACTACCAGACCAGAGAGATCCAAAGCCTGGGGCTTTATCTTGTTTGTCTCCGTCAGTCACTGTGTTTTTCTGAGACGGTGTCTCACACCTCAGCTCTGGCTGGCCTGTTACTCACCATGTAGCTACCCAGGTGGCCTTCACAGCACTTCTCCTGCCTCAGGCTCCTGTGTGCTGAGATTACAGGCATGCCTGAGTGTCACACTGGCTTCCATTATTTACACCCACTGAAACAGTGAAATGATGTCACTAAGAAGAGAAATATTCTCTTGGCCTGGTGGCACAGGCTGGTAATCCTAGATGCAAGGGCCGCTAAGGCAGAAGGGTTGCAAGTTCAAGGCTAGCCTAGACTACAGAGTAGATTTAAGGACAGTCTGGGCAGTTTAGTGAGACCCTAATTAAAATGAAAGGCCTATGACATTGCTCAGTGAACACAGACACTTGGAGCCAATCCGAAAAACCTAGAGTTATCCCTGGGAGCCACACAGCAGAAGGAGATAATCGATTCACACAAGCTGTCTTGACCTCCACACCAACATGTGCCCCCCATAAATGAAGAAATTTAATTTAAAGGGGGAAGCTTGAGAGGTTAAGAGTATTTGCCACTCTTCCAAAGGACCTGAGTTCAGTTCCCAATATCCACATGTGAGGCTCACACACATGGCATACAGTCACACAACACACACAAAGATTTATTGTCTTTCTTTTTTTGTTTTTTTCGAGACAGGGTTTCTCTGTGTAGTTCTGGTGCCTGTCCTGGATCTCGCTCTGTAGCCCAGGCTGGCCTCGAACTCACAGAGACCCACCTGGCTCTGCCTCCCGAGTGCTGGGATTAAAGGCGTGTGCCACCACCACCCGGCACACAAAGATTTTTAAGTCAGGGCATCACTATGTAGCTCTGGCTGTCCTGGAACTATGTAGACCAGGCTGGCCTCGACCTCAGAGATCTGCCTGGCTCTGCCTCCTGAGTGCTGGGATTACGGCCTGCGTCATTACAGGAGGGCTGAGGCAGTTCTGAACTACCGGTAGAGTGCACACCGAGCAGGTGTCAAGCTCCAGGTTCAATCCCAGGATCATGAAAACAAAGCAATGACTCCTTCCTTCCCTTTCTAGAGAGGGTTTCATGTGGCCCAGGCTGGCCTTGAACCCCGGATCCTCCTGTCTTCACCTCCCAAGTGCTGGGCTGACAGACAGGCACCATCACACCTAGCTAAAACGCTTGACTTCATCTACCATTACTAGGCAGCCATGTGGACAGGTGTCTCCCTTATGGGGCTGTTGTAAGAACTAAGCTTAGGAACCCACCCCCTGCCTTGTCTACACCAGTGTCACACAGACCCTGAGAACTATGCTTAGTCCCTGCCTCATGAAGCTTGGTCAAACCCCAGGGTCTTAGTACACACACTGGAAGAACTTTATAAATGCTGGTCAGTTCAGCAGCAAGGCCTCCTGGGTAAACCACCTTCCCTTCCCTGGTACAGTTCCTTCATGTAAGATGAAGACATCAGAATAGGTGCTCTAACATCCGGTTTGGTTCTATGAATAGCTTCCCAACAAAAAAGAAAAGCACACGTGACAGCCACTTGGGCTCCTTGGAACGTCGCCCCCAAAGAGGAGCGGACTCTGGGCTGACATCCCTCCATGTCCTGATTATGTCCTGATTAGGCAAGGTCACTTCCACGTCATCTCCAACACCCCCCGCCCCCCGCTCATATACTACGAATTTCAGCTTTCTCTCTTGGTTCCTTTATGGCTTCAGATTTTAAGGAGCTGATGCTGTTAGCACAGCAGAAGAATAATTTGGCAGAAAAAATGCTGGCCATTGAGACACTACCCGACTCCTGTCTGCTTTCCCTGCTTCTTGCCAAGGAAGGATGCAGGCATAAGTCGGCTGTCTACAAGCCAGACCCTGGGTCTACCCATGCCTTGGTCTTAAGGCTTTCCACCCTCTAGAACATGGAGGATAAACGTCTGCTGTTTGAGACACCTGGAGGATAGTAGCTACACTCTAGCTGTTCAAACTAGGACAACACTTTTGCCCACAGTGGACTGGCTACTTCTCACCCCCCAAGTGTCAGGGCGCCACGGCCTCCAACACTTACCCACTTCCTTCAGCCCGCCACTGTCCCACCACCACCTCCTTTTAATTGCCTTGTAGCGCCCATCTGTAATCGCTAAACCAACTGTAGTATCTGGCACAGTGATGCACAAAATAAATGGTCAGTAGTCAGGAATACACAGTGGGGCAGCTTCCTTCATGCTCCAAGTAGGGGCTCTTACCCAGCTTCCCATAGTGTTCAATAAGGTCCATCTTGGAGAGGAGGTTGACATGGGGCAGTTCCACATGCAGCATGGTGGCCAGGGAGGTGCACAGTACCGAGATGAACTTGGCTGGGTCTGTACAGTAGTGAGAATCCACAAGGTGGACAGCTGTCAGCTGTGAGCAGAAGATACAGGATGAGAGGGAAAGGCAGACTAGAGTGGGAGGGACTTCCTGATCCTCGTGAGACTAGCCGCTTAAGGATCCCAAGTAAGCCTTCCTCAGCCGTGTTCTGCTTCTATTTCCTAGTACACGTGTGTGCGTGAGGCAGGCTTTTATGGCCTGGAACTCATGATCTTTCGGCCTCCACATGCCAAGTGCTGGGATTACAGCATGTGCCACTTTCCCTGGCTCTTGTATTTAATTCTAATAGCCAGCATCATGTCTTCCTCCCAGAAAATATGGGGTATTTTTTTCTTACAAAGTACCTTTTTCTCCTTCCTACTATGCTGGGGTGGGGCGGGGCAGAGTAGGTCCAAATCCAGGGCCTCTACCACTGAGCTAAATCTCCAACCCCTCTTACAAGGTATCTTGCAAAGAATCCCTGGGTGGGAGGCAGGATCACGTTACACTGCATCTGCCTCTCCACTCTTTCAATAGACACACTTTTGCACACCAACTACACAGTTGCTGAGCCACCTTCTACGTGATCGCTTCCACATTGAGCACTAACACGTTAACTTTAGAGATGAGAAAAATGAACTGAGAAGACTTTCCCAGATCACACAGTTGGTGGCAGAGCTAAAATTCGAATTCAAGAGGCTGTAGTTCTGCTCCAAACTCAACTCAGACCCCATCTCTCAAAGTGACTTGGGGGTGTGTCATCTGTCCACCTCCCTGTCTCAGGGACTCTATCCGCATAATGGGCCTGCGGACCCGAGACGCACCCTGAGGTCCCACTGTGCCATCTGGGAAAAGATGCTGCGCAGGGCGGCATGGTGCGTGCAGAGCTCCACCTGCCCGGGGCAGTCGAAGAGAAAGTAGTGGCCTCGGAGGGGCTCGAGCTTGGCGCGCAGCCAGTCCAGGTTGGCCTCCAGGTACTCCATGCAGTAGAGCAGGCCACCGTTGGGCCCCAGGCGCAGCGCGTCCATCACGTCGCTCAGCCCCACCAGCTCGCCCACGTCCACGGCACACTCATAAGGCAGCCCTTCGTTGGCCGGGTCCAGGTTCACCACGGCCACGCGCCGGCCGAGCGCGCGCAGGAACTCACTCATGCCCAGGCAGTACGTGGTCTTCCCGGAGCCCGGGGGCCCGATCACCGCCTGCCCGAAGGCCGTGGCCGGGGCGGACCCCGCCATGGGCGGAGCAGGCCGGCCCACGGGCGCTTCCCGAACTGAACCAAGCAGACCCACAAGAAAACAAGCAAACTACCCGGCACGGAAGGGTAAAGCCCCGACTTCCGCACTCCGCCGGAAATTGCCCAAGAGGAAGTCCCGCCTACACGCCAACGACGCAGACCGGCCAGGGAGTTGTGGTTCCGCAGCCGCACTTTCTCCCGCCGCGGTTGTCAGTCGTAGGGTTTCCCGGCTTCTCTAAGGCAAACTTCCAGGCCGGGTCCAGCCCTAAACTCGTTTATTCTCGCGCAGACCCGCCCCCAGCCAAAGGGTGGAGGTGGTGAGGGACCGCCCGACCCTCTGGACCAGTTCTTCTCTGGTCCCTTTTCTTTTTCTGGTCCCGTGACGCCCTCCTTCAAACCCCCGCAAAACCGACTTGAATGTGCCACAGGCAGTCCAGATCTCTGAGGTGAGCCCAAACAAGGACTAGGGTTCGGAGACCACCCCAGAAGGAGGGATTTTTGTGAAATCATCTTTGAGGTAGAGAAGCGGCAGGCATGCTCATCAGGTCTGAGTACATGAGCCTGCTGTGCGAACTCCTAGGCTCTTGGCTGCTTCAGAGGTGGATCCCAAGGCAAGACCCAGGCTGTTCTCCTGGAGCTGAGTGACCCTGACCAAGGACGTAGCTTCACTCAGGCTCCGAGGACCTGTCCAAGGCACAGCTGGAACCCCTCACAAAAGTCACATCTGTCCGAAACTTCATGCTGGTGGGTGGCTGGCGTCGGAGCAAGGACTCCGTCCTGTCTTGGGGAAGAGGCTCATCATAGATTGTGGAAATGAGTCCCAAGCCAGTTCCTCGGGGCCTCTTCAGTTGCCCAAATGGCTGTAGTTTCTCTCCATGGTACCTGGATAAAACAGGGCAAGGGACAGGAGTAGCTACTACATTATCTGGTTTGTCCTGTAAGGCACAACTGTCGTGTGCTGATGGGGTTTGAACCCAGGGCCAGGCAAATAGTCATCCCTGAGCCACACCCCCAGCACTAAAGACAAAGCTTTAAATATCTGGAACTTTGCTCTCCGACTTCTACAGACAGTCTGTGCCAACTACAAGGAACCTTGGAATATTCATTCCTACAACGGACTCCCTTATCAAGCCCAAAACCAGACTTGAGGAAATGACTTTCCTGGGGGACCCATGATTTTTTTAAGTTATAGGATTTGGTCTAAAATGAACATAAAGAACAGTATCATCGATTTCTTCTACTTCTGCTATGAAGTTCATCTTCCAGGGGTACCCAGCCTGCATCTCAAAAACAATGGGAAGAGGGAAACCAAACAGCATCATTGCTGGATGATGACCGTAAGGAGCCCTTCAGGGGTGCACTTACCCCAATCCACGTTTGCATCTGGGGTGCTGGCCATCACTATCCAGGGCCTCAGGCACCCCGGAGCACCTACTACCCAGGCCCTGGCCTTCAGCCCAGCCCTGACGCTCCATCACCTTCCGGCCAATGCCCTGCAAAGAGAAACAGTGAGAATCAAGAAAAGTGGCTTAAGTTTGACAAGGTTGTGCATGTCTCATCACTAGGGAGGCAGAGGCAGAAGGGTTTGAGTTCAAGGTCAGGCTGGGCTACATATGGAGACCCTGCCTCACAGGAAGTAAGGGATAGAGGAGAGAGGAAGGAAGGGAAGGAAAGAGAAAGGAGGAGGGGAGGCACGCTCTTTGGAGGAGAAACACAGAAGTGTCAGTGGGCTGGGCAGCGCTCACCTTGGTGTGGCGCTCAAAGGTGCCCACATGGCGTCCTATCACAGATCCATCTTCCTGGCCATCACGGAGTCTCTGTTCCAAGCGCATTTGGATAGAGTCACGGGCATCTTTGTCTCCACCATCTGAGAAACCATAACCCATCTGTAAAAAGGTCCCTCTCATCAAGGCTCAGGTGTCTGGGGTCACCTCACAAGACTTACTGATGCATCTTCATAATGTCCTATAATCTCTCTTCTGAGATGGGAACACCCCAGAACAGAAACCACGGTTCTCATCTTACAGATGAGGGACAGTGCAGAAAAGGCAGACCGACAGAGATGGAATCAGAAATCAGACTACTAGGAGCTAGAGAGTCGGCTCAGCAGTTAAGAGTGTGTACTGGTTCTCTACAGGACTTGGGTCCATTTCTCAGCATGTACATGGCAGCTAACAACTGTAACTCCAGTTCCAGGGGATGTCATGCCCTCTCATGCACTCCAAGGGTACCAGGCACGTGTCATACTTCCATGCAGGCAAAACACACATACACATAAGATAAAAACAATGAATCTTAGCTGGGTGTGGTGGCGCATGCCTTTAATCCCAGCATTTGGGAGGCAGAGGCAGGTGGACCTCTGTGAGTTCAAAGCCAGCCTGATCTACATAGTGTAGCTCTACAGAGCTACATAGTGAGATCCTATCTCAAAACACCAAAAATAAATAAATAAAAAAATCTTTATCAAAAAAGCAGCCAGGAGCTAGGCGGTGGTGGCACATGCCTTTAGTCCCAGCACTTGGGAGGCAGAGCCAGGCAGATCTCTGTGACTTCGAGGCCAGCCATCTAGAGAGCGAGATCCAGGACAGGCACCAAAACTACACAGAGAAACCGTGTCTCAAAAAAACAAAAACAAACAAACAAACAAACAATAGTCAGACTGGTCTACATATCGAGTTTCGGTTGGGACAGCCAGGGGTACACAGATCCTGTCTCAAAAATACATACACACACATACATACATACATACATACATACATACATACATACATAAAAAATAAAAAAACAAAAACCAAAAATCCAGGTCATTTATCACTTCAGAGCTCTGAGTTGATCAAAGGCCAAGCTTCTATTTAGAGCCTGTTCACCCAGAACCTGAGAAGTGTTCCCATAGGCCCTTAACAGAGAGGATCAAGGGCCTGCCCACTACCAACACTTAACTACAGGCGGTGAGTACTCTCAAGCAAAGATGGTGTGCACAGTCAGCCTGTTTCTACAGTTCTGCACCTGCACATCCAACCACTTGGAAGCTACTCAGAAAATATCTTTTTTTTTTTTTTAAAGATATATTTATTTATTATGTATACAGTGTTCTGTCTGCATGTGTCCCTGCAGGCCAGAAGAGGGCACCAGATCTCATTACAGATGGTTCTGAGCCACCATGTGGTTGCTGAGAATTGAACTCAGGACCTCTGGAAGAGCAGTTGGTGATCTTACCCACTGAGTCATCTCTCCAGCCCCCTCAGAAAATATCTTTGTTGGTACCAACAAGTGGACTCCCCACTCCATCATTATTCCCTTAGTAATGCTAGATGCATGGTGTTTACATGGCATTAGGTTCTTTGAAAGATCTACAGAGGACTTGTCGGTTGGTTTTGAGATAAGAGCTCACTCTAGCCCACGCTGACCTCAAACTTGCAGCAACCTTCATGTCTCACTCACTTCCGCAGTGCAGGGATTCCAAACTGGACACTACCGTAGCTGGCAAGTAATTTCCTTCCTGGTGCTGGAATTGAACCCAGGGCCTCACATATGTAGGAAAGTACCACTGAGATGTAGCCCCAGCCCTGCTAACTTTTTTTGAGAGAGATTATTTAAAGTATGCGTGAGGATGTGTGTAGGTCTAAGCAATTACACCATTGTGTAAGAAAGCATTGCAGATTTTGGTATGCACAGGGGCTCTAGAAGCATTCTCCTTGAGCACACTGAGAACAAGTGTACAGTGGGCTGCCCTAGTTCCCTGACTTAACTTCTGCCAAGCACGTGTAGCTAACAGACAGGGCCAACACTCAAGTCCCTCCCAGGACTCCACCCCTCGTCCGTACCTTTGTCGTAGTAGACACTCATGTCCACGTCCCAGTCATCGGCCGTCTGCTCGTCAAAATCTACAGGGGCAGAAGCATGTAGGGTTGAGGTCTCTGAGTTCTTTGGCTCTGGGGCTAGGGATCAGACCCGGAGTCTCGCACAAGCTAAAAGTGCTCTACCGCCCAGCTCCGCGCCCCACCCCAAGGACTACCAGTTGTGTTCTGAGCTAAATCTAGCGTTAGACAAACATTCCAGGTTCTAGACCAATTCCTCATTCCAAAACAGGATGGAGGCCATTTCCTAGCTTTATTTAGACTGTCAGGGAATCTACTATGTGGAACACTGGCCCCAACTTTGGCTTGACAGCCCTTGCCTGGGTACCAACCTAAGGGTCTAGATCTGAAAGATCCCGACAAAGCCCACGTGTTCAAGGCTTAGTCCACAGCACAGGGAAGGAATGGGAACGAGGCAGAGCTTGCTTCACGGATGACCTTCAAAGGGACCGTGGGGCCCCGGCCTTGTCTTCCCTCTCTCTCCCTTGCCTCCCAGCCATGAGGCAATTAGGCTTCCTGCACCATGTACTCAACCACACTGTGCCACCTCACCACAGGCCTAAGAACCAATCGGCTCAGGCCTTCAGACCTCCAATCCAAGCCAAGGCTCTTCCCTTCAGCAGTGAACTCATCTGCGTATTTGCCACCCTCCCCAGCCTTACCCCCTTCCTCCTCCTGCCAGAACTGAGCGTCGGTGTAGAACACCAGGCCAGCCCCGCCCTTACCCCCTTCCTCCTCCTGCCAGAACTGAGCGTCGGTGTAGAACACCAGGCCAGAGCCGCCCTTCTCCCACTTGAGCTCAATCTCCTCCTCGAAGAGCCGCTCGGTAGTCCGCTCCTGCCCGGTCACGTCCTCATGCAGGGCTTCATGACGCTCCCACTCCTCACACCGGTCATCATCCTGGGAGAGAGGAGGGAGAGGTGACCAGCATGTCTGACCTCCAGACCTCAGGGCCCAGCGGGGGCCACGGACCTGGATCTCAGCACCATGCCTTCAGGCTTCTCCAGAAGCAGCACATCGAGACTTAAAACCCCAACCGACACCCGGCGCCATCCCTCTGCTCCTCACTCCCGACTCACTCAGTTCTGTGCCTCTGGCCCAGCAGTCCCTCTTCCATCCCCCTGCTCCTCACTCCTGACTCAGTTCTGTGCCTCTGGCCCAGCAGTCCCTCTTCCATCCCTCTGCTCCTCACTTCGGACTCACTCAGTTCTGTGCCTCTGGCCCAGCAGTCCCTCCTCCACCCCCCTGCTTCTATCCCTGGTCAAATTCTCACGCTGAGTCCTCCAGGACACAAAGCCCACTTAGTGCACAGCGCTCTCTCTCTCTCTCTCTAGTTTGTTTATCAGTACACACCATTTAAGCCTTTCTCAATTATGTCACGAGGAAGGGACAGAACAAGGACTAAGCAGCATTTCCTGCTGCTCAGGCCCTTCCTATAACTGGGTTCTTGGAATAATCCCAGTGGTCCTGTGAGGTAAGTGCTGTTATTCCCATTTTACAGGGGGAACTTAGGTCAGAGGTAACCTGCCCACAACACTATGCCAAGAGCAGCTGAACCAGCGGGCAATCCCAGGTCATCTCCACACAGCCTTCCCACGCTCCTTCTTTCTCGTTTCAACATTTAGGCTCTTCCAGGGCAGGAAAAGAATCATAGACTGCCTTTAGAACTGAACCCCAGTTCTTGCTACGATATGCTTAACTGGACCTGTGCAATAACAGGATGACCCTTGGCTTGACTCCCCCAGTGCCCTACCCTGGTTTAAACCAAGGACGCCACAGGAACCAAGGCTGCGGAGCAGGTGGTTCTCACAGCACTGGGCTGAGTACCTGAAACACCGTGCCTCGCTTTCCCCACCTGGGAGGTGAAGGTCGGTAAGGACCACACAGGACCATCTCAAAAGCAAAATAAATAATCACAACAAATCCCACTTCACTTGATTCATGGAGAAAGGAGATGATGAAAATGTCTATTCTGCTGACAAAGTTAACACTGGAGGCTGGTGAGACCAGAACAGAGGCGCAGCAAGGCCCCTGATGGAAGCCCAGAGGCTGGAGAAACCTGGAGAAGGAGCTGGGCTCCCATCTCTAACTCTGCTCCTACCTCTTACACAGTTCTGGGTAAATTCCTATACATCTCTTGCTTGGTACCTTCCATCTGTGAAAAGGAGCCTTCCCATAGCCTTCAACACTTTCTGAGTAGAATACACTTGAAAATCTGATAAAAACCCTGGCCAGGCGGTGATGGCATATGCCTTTAATCTCAGCACTCGGGAGGCAGAGGCAGGTGGATCTCTGTGAGTTCGAGGCCAGCCTGGTCTACAGAGTGAGTTCCAGGAAAGGCACAAAGCTACACAGAAAAACCCTGTCTCCAAAAACCAAAAACCGAAAAAAAAAAAAAAAAAAAATACCAAAACAAAACAAAAAAACCCTGGACACACCCTCCCAACCAAAAAAAGTGTAAAACGTAAAGAGAGTTTTACATTCACTGCTGGAGCGGTTCTTCTCCACAGAGGAACCTCCGTCATACACGTGACAGGAGGACAGTACTAATGCCTTGGCCTGTCTTTTTTTTTAAATCAGAGTCTCATGTATCCTGGGCTGGGTTTGAACTGAAGACGACCTTGAACTTCTGATCCCCCCCCTGCCTGGACCTCTCGTAATGCCGGGATTACAGGTGTGTACCACCCTGCCAGATTGGTGCACTCTAGGGTTCAAACTCAGGGCTTTGTGCTCCCTGGGTGAGCATCCTACCAAAAGATTTCCAGCCCTGGCCTGGCCTCTGCAAGAGATGAGCAAAGCGCTGCACTACTCACATCATCGGAGTGAGACAACTCTTCTCGCTGCTCTTCATCCTCAGGCTCATCCAAGAGGCTGGCTGGTGGCTCTTCCAAGCAGGTTCCCTGGGGGATCTCCTCCCCCTCGGCAGTGTACACCTGTTCTTCCTGCTCCACAGTCTCGGAGTCCTCGTACTCGAAGGGCACATTGCCATAGCGCCGGGAGGAGCCTGTCTTGGGAAACTGGAGCTGCAGCTGGGTGATGATTCGAGGTGGAAGCCGGCAGGCCCGGATCAAGTCCAAAAAGACCCTCAGGGGCGTGCCCACATTCCCATTGGGCATCAGCACCGGTGGATTCAGCTCAGGTAGCTGCCTCAGGTCAGCCAGGGTAAAAGCTTCATTGTCTGCCTTTCGACTCTGGAGCTCCTTCCGGGTCTTAAAGGGAAAGGGCCCTAGATCTTAGGAAGGAGAGGAAGAATGGATGTTAAATCCCTAGAAGCTTTCAGTAATATTCAAGTCAGTAGTAAATCTCAGTTTAAAAGCTGATTCCTGGGCTGGAGAGATGGTTCAGTGGTTAAGAGCACCGACTGCTCTTCCAGAGGTCCTGAGTTCAATTCTCAGCAATCACATGGTGGCTCACAACCACTTGTAATGAGATCTGGTGCCCTCTTCTGGCTCTGGCCTGCAGGGACACATGCAGGCAGAATACTGTATACATAATAAATAAATAAATCTTAAAAAAAAAAAAAATAAAGCTGATTCCTATAAGGCACGGTGGCATACATTTGAGAGACCAGCACTCAGGAGAGTGAGGCAGGAGGAGCTTGAGTTGGAGGCCAGTCTCCAAAAAGGGCTAACACGATGAACTTCCCTCCAGGCTGGAGGCCTTGAGTCTGATCCCAGAATCCACAGGCTAGAAGGAGAGAACCTTGTTCTCGCAAGGTGACCTCTGACCTCCACACTAGTGTCACAGCACATGTGTATCTTCTGCCTCCACAGAATAAATGTAACAGATGCTTCTGTGTATATGCCCGAGTGTATGTATGTATGTGCACCACATGCATGAAGGAGCCTGTGCACGTCAGAACCTCCAAGACTGGCGTTCTAGGCAATTGTGAGCAGCCATGTGGGTGCCGGGAATTAAGAATCCTCTGCAAGAGCAGTAACTAAACTAAGTGCACTTAACCTGTGAGCCATCTCTCCAGCCCTCGGATTTCTTATCTCCCTAGAGGAATATACAGGTTTCTTCGACATCTGCCTCCTGCTGATTAGCCTTTATTGGTACCAGAGATAGAACCATTACCTCTCAACTATATTTCCAGCACTATGCTGACCTTTGGATGCTCAGCTGTCACTAATTCCCACTGTACATATCTTGTGTTCCAGGCATATCAAATGATTTTTTTAAATTATGATTTGCTTGCTTAGTGTGTGTAAGTGTGTGTGTGTGTGTGTGTGTGTGTGTGTGTGTAAGTGTGTGTACACAGTGTACCTACGGAGGCCAGAAGATAACTTGCTGGAGTTGGTTCTCTCCTTCTACCATGTGGGTTCCTGGAGATCCAACTCAGGTCTTCAGATCTGGCCATGCTGGTGGCCCAGGATTGTTTTGAGAATTCAATAAGGAAACGATGGACTGGTCAGATATGTTGGTACACACAATTCCAGCACTTGAGAGGCAGGGGCAGGAGGGGCAGAAGCTCGAGGTTATTTCTTTTCTTTATTTATTTTTGAGACAGGCCCTGTCTGGCCTGAAGCTCGCTATGTAGACCAGAGTGGCCTTGAACTCTTGAGAGCTGCTTGCCTTTCCTGAGATTAAAGCATGCACTAGCTGCCTTGTTCAGTGTCATTCTAACACACATAGAGTTTGAGGTCAGCACAGACTACATGAGACAGGGACACACAGAGAAGCAGCTCATTGTTCCCATGAAGTATACCTTGATAAGACATTGCTCCTAAAGACTTTGCCAAAACCATAACCTTGCACACGCACACACAAATCCTTCTCGGAAGACATTTGCTCAGCAACTGTTTGTTCACCCTTGAACTGACACCGTTTTTCTTTTTGTTGTTGTTTGTTTTGTTTTGTTTTGTTGAGATGGGGTCTGAACTACATAATCTTGGCTAGCCTGGAACTCACTTTCTAGACCAAGCTGACCTCGAACTTATGAAGTTACAGAGATCCACTTACCTCTGCTTCCCAAGTGCTAGGACTAAAGGTGTTCGACACCACATTTGTAAATGATTCTTGTAGCCAAGGCTAAACGGTTTCAAAATCATTTGTATAAACGTCTCCATCTGGCATTTTAAAACTCTTGGCTTCCTTTTCCCTAATGGACACACTTGTGCCCCGCCCCCTCCTGTAGACCAACAGCGATCTCCCGTGCTCTCTAGAGTTAATTCTTTCCTCTGCAGAGCCAGTTCTTCAGTCGCTTATGTTAGGTTAGAAGAAACCAAATTTCCTTTGTTTGTTTGGAGACAGGTTTCTCTGCGGAGGCCCGGCTGTTGTGGGACTCGCTCTGTAGACCAGGCTGGCGTCATACTCAAGATTCACCTGCCTCTGCCTCTTTAGTGCTGGGATTAAAGGCGTGCGCCACCACTGCCTGGCTCCAAATTTCTTTCCGAAAAATCCTATCGGTAGTACGACATCAACTCCTCAGAGAAATGGTCCTAATAAGGGATAAACTGGAAACTCATCTACATAGGTCTCTGTTTTGGTTTTTTGTCTTTTAAGTCCCTGAATGAAACTAACCTGCAAGTTGAGGCTCAAAACGCGCACTTTGTCCAGAACTGACTTAAAACTCCTAAACGGTGGTAAGCAGAGGTCTGACCTCTCTCCACTACCCAGGAAATGTGCCTCCGTTCCAAGGCCTGTAAGTCCAGTCCATTCTCTCTCCCTCTTACCTGAAGCCTCAGTGGGTAGCCTAAGCCTGCGGATGAGACAACGACCGGGGAGCCAGGTCCCCTGAGAGTCCAGCCACCGGCGACCCGAGTACATGCGAAGCAGCCGCTGAGCTTGGGCCACTCCCCGCACCGAGACGATGCAGCAGCAGGTGCGGGTCGGCACGGGAGCAGAGTCCCGGGAGGGGACGGCGCGGGCATCGGGGTCTGTGTTCCGGGCGAGAAGCGGATGCTCAGCAGCAGGGTCGGGGGCAGCTCGGGCCGCGTCGGGAGCCGCCGCCTGCGGAGGACCCCTCTCCGGCCGATGTCGGTAGTGGAAACACAGGAAGCCTCCGCCGCGCTGTTCCCGGAACTGGCTAAAGTAGTTCCGTAGCTGGGCCGAGCGTAACCTAGGGGGGATACCACTCACCACTAGGTACACCGGCGACTCTTCGTCCGCCTCCCTGGGCATCGCCATCTTGGATCGTCACATGATTGCTTGGCGTCAACTCTCGCGAGAGCACCACGTCTAGGACTCTGGAGTCCGCTCCTGGAGTGCGAGCTCTGGGACCGGTCGGTTCTTCAAGCTATGTGTGGTTTAGCCGCTCTTGGGCCGAAACCGTTTGTTCAGATCCACCGATGGCGGGGAACTCTTCTGATGGGCTGTGGCTCAGTGAGAGCTAACCCAGCACGGGGGACACCCAGTGTGGAGCACCCCGGAGGCTGAGCCCGGAGAGCTGGCGGGAGTTTGATGTAGGAGTGGACTATATATATAATACCAATCCAACCAGCGCTACATGACAAGATTGAATCTAAAATAAAAGTTGAAGAAGCCGGGCGTGGCGGCGCACGCCTTTAATCCCAGCACTTGAGAGGCAGGAGGATCTCTGTGAGTTCAAGACCAGCCAGGGCTACATAGAGAGCGATCCTGTCTAGGGTGTGTGTGTGTGAAGAGAGGGCTCAGCAATTAAGAGCGTTTGCTGCTCTTACAGAGTACCTGGGGTGGATTCCCAGCACCTACAATCTACACGGAGGCTCACACATCCGTAACTCCGGTTTCGGGGCACACACGTGGTGGGCCTGCATACATGCAGGCAAAACCCTCACACATAAAGCTTTAACAGAAATTTTAAAAATTAAAGAACAAAATAAAACAAGTAACTGTATGGATGTAGGAAACGATTCCCAGAAGCCATGGGTTATTAAATGAAAATCCTAGTGCCATCAGTGGGCTACCTCCCACACACAAGGTGGTGTGTCCCCTACAGCATCGATACTGTGACTACCATAGAGCAACTCCTGTGTGCAGTGCTCCGGAAAGCCAGAAGAGGGCGACGGATCCTCTGGAACTGGAGCAGACAGTTGTGAGCGGCCAGGTGGGTTCTGGAAACCCCAACCCAGATCCTCTTCAAAAGCAGAGAATGCTGTTATCCCTGACCCATCCCCCTAGCCTCCTGGTGGCATTCTTGAACTCATAACAACTGCAGATCTGGCCAAAATTGGGTCCTTCAACTCCTACCATGGAGGATGGAAAGGCTTCATGAGTCTGGACCCCTCCCTAAGAATTTATATGCTGTTGAAAGTTGATGGTAATGTTGTGGCCAAGAAACGAGACCCCTGAGCAAGACTACCATAGAGCCGATATGCGATGCAAAACACAAAGGGGTTTATTGATAACAAGCAAGCCCGGGCTTGGTCCGTGTCCAACACTCATCACAGCGGGTGGAGGAGGATGGCCCTGAGTTCTCAGGGTGAGGGTTCTTTAAGGGAAAAATCGCAAGCAGGGTGGTACAAGCCTTTGCGTCATATGATTGGGTGAGGGTGTGTAACCTTTGAACTTACTGGTTGGAGGTTACAGTTATTATTTTGGGGCAGGCCTGGACAAGTCCCAGGCTTTGTCCTTGAGCTGCCTTGGAGGCTGGCTGGCCTTGCACGTTCACAAGGTTCTCATTGACCAACGCATGTAGCTCTAACTTGGTAAGGAGTCCCAGACAGTAAACAACTGGCAGAACCTTGAGCAGTCAGAGTACGTGCAGAAAGAGAGTTACTACAAGGACTATGTCTTTTGTTCATGGCCCTCCCAGAACGGCTTGCTCAAGTCTTAGGAAACTGAAATTGAGGCCTGATCTCTGAGAGAAGACTGACAGCTTGTTATGGCATCTGCTTGGTCCTTTCAGTAGGAATGGTTATTATGTAGCAATTTTCTCTGAATTGAAACATTCTATCCTGAGTGGAAGGACCTTTAAGATTCTCCAAGTAAACAATGGGAGCTAGAGAGATAACAGTGGTTAAGAGCTTTGGCTCAGGTTCAATTTCTACCACCCACTTGATAGTTTACAACTATCTGTGACTCCAGTTCCAAGGGATATGATGCCATTTTTTGTCCTCTGAGGGTACCAGGCATGCACATGATACACAGATATACTTGCAAGCAAAAAAAATAATACATATAAAATACAATTTAGAAAAGTATACAACTCACAAGTCTCAGTTCCTAAAACATACAAGATTCACAAAGTCCCCTCCCCAAGCAGATATAAGCAGTAAGGACTGCTGGAGAAAAGAGACTTTCTAACCTGTCTGGCTGCCTGCAAGTGTAAGGATTATGTCCTTAATTACGTCACCAGCCTGAGACTGTATCCCAACCTAAAAAGTGGGTGTGCCCTCTCTGTGTTCTCTTTCTGCTTGGTCTTTCTCTCTCCCTCTCCCTCTCCCTCTCCCCCTCTCCCTCTCCCTCTCCCTCTCCCCCTCCCCCTCCCCCTCCCCCTCCCCCTCTCCCTCTCCCCCTCTCCCTCTCCCTCCCTCTCCCAATAAGGCTCTAGAAAGGTAACCATGGCTCGTGATTCTTCTGCCACTGCAACATCCAGTGCTCTCTTTTGTTGCCATGAGCACAGCCACTTAACCAGTATTGGTGCCATTCAGACTTGGATAGATCAACGCGGACCTGCTGCCACTTGCCGCCTCCTCCCCCATCCAGCGAGACTGCGAGACCCCCACACAGCTACCACTTCTGCTACCACCATGATTCTTCACCACAGTGAGTGAGTCCGCCGTTTTCACAGCTGTAGTCTGAACTATATTCTTTGCAATGGACACGGGGGGGGAGGGGGGGCGTTGGTTGTCCTTGGGCTGTGCTGCCAATGGCAGGCACATTTTCACTCCTGACGAGGTGTCAATGCTTTCTCCGGTCCATTTTGAACCAACTGCAGCACAGCTGTAGCCCTTTCCATCCCTTGACAAAGAGGATGGGTAAGTTGAGCTGATTCATAGATCTCTCTCCACTCCTTGGGGACGCCTGAGATTGGAGTCTGATCTCGGTTTGTTACTTTAATTTTTTATTTTTCTCTCAGCTACAGCCATAGGACAAAGGGGCGGATACATTTACCACTTACATTGGCGGATAGGGGCGGGTACCAGTAAATCTGGCCACATAACAGCTTCTCAGAAACTTCTGTCAGTGAACGGGCAAATAAAAGAGTTACTTTATCCCCAAGCTTTTTGCTAAAGCTCTAAACAATTCTCCTTCCCCACTTCTACATCTGCCACGTGCAACCTTTTCTGTCTGACTTCTGCTGGCAGTGGGCAGGCTCAAATGGGCGGGCTCAAATGGGCGGCTTCTATGACTCTCGCCCTAACTCACCTTAACTCCACCCACTCATTCTCGAACTGCCTTGGGAGCAGCTAAGATCCATACAAATAAGTTTACATAGTCAAGATGGCTCTTAAGCCAAAAATCAGCTTAAGGCTTAGACAAGTCTTCCAAAAGGATCAATTTATAGTCTGCCTCCTGGTAGATCTTCCAAAAGCTGTCCTTAAGCCATCAATCATCAGGAAAAAAAAAAAAAAAATCAGGACACAGAGTAAAATCCATCTCTTGTTCCCCAGACCTCCCCGACTAAAACTTAAGCATCTGGAGAGCAAGGCTCCTGACCCCACAGGCAAAAGAATCATCTGTGGCATTTAAGGTGTGCCAGGGAGGAGATAAAAGCCCGAAAACAAAATTGCCAAGTGCTGGCACTCACTGACTCCCAAAAGCTGTTGGGTCCCTGTTTTATGTGAGGAAAAAGGCCATGGGATAGCGAATGCCCTGCCAGGCCATCAACAGCCTTGTTAAAAGTGCCGCCTATAAAGACAACCAGTCAGCTGACTGCCCCCAGGCACCAAGACGCATGGGTACATCAAGCTAAGACCTCCAGCAGTCCTAGGCTTGGCTACAGACATGGCAGGGAACCCAGAACGCAGCAGGGAAGCGATCTGATTCTTTCCTTCTGGACACCAGAACCACTCTATCATCAGGTACAGAGGACAGCCTTACCCACCTCACCAGATTTAAATACACTTTCAGAGTTACTTAATGGAAAAAGATTTCCAGCTAAGATAAGAGCTCATTGTCTCACTCCAGATCTACTGCCTGTGTTTCTCATGTGCATACAGACAGGGCCCTGATCGTTGCCTTGTCCCTAATTCCAAAAAAATAAATTCTCATACACAATAAGCTTTTCTCTTCCCAATTCCCTGTTGTTCTAACTCAGTGTTCGGCTAATGATACAGGACCACCATAGAACTGGAGTCCAGAGATCATCAAGTAAGAAACTGTAACAGGATGCAGGGCAGTGGTGTTGCACGCCTTTAATCCTAGCACTCGGGAGGCAGAGCCAGGTGGATCTCTGTAAGTTCGAGGCCAGCCTGAGAAAAACCCTGTCTCAAAAAAAAAAAGAAAAAGAAAAGAAACTGTAACAGCTAAAAGGTATTTATACCCCCAGACCCAAAAGCATCTGGGCGCTACAAAAAGACTTTAATAAAGCTTAACATGTTTCAAAATTCATCTGGACAGGCCGGATCTACCAACATAAAATAATAATGATTCTTTTCTCTCTAAGCTTTTTTCTGTCACCAGCATCTTGTCAGACAGAAGGTTCCCAGACACAGCTAAGAGGGGATACATGTCTCCAGAGCAAATGGATGGCAGACAGTATCCCACAATGCCTGTCTACCTCGGAAGACTCCCCTTCCCCATTCCCCCAAGAGCCAACCAACGTCCAATAGTCAGCTGGAAGCAGCTTTTGAGAGAAACGACGTCCCTATTCCCATCTACCTGCTTTTTTAATAATAAGCGAAAGGCTGGGATGTAAGGATTATGTCCTTAATTACATCACCAGCCTGCGACTGCATCCCAGCCTAAAAAGCGGTGTGCCTTCTCTGTGCTCTCTGTCTTCTTCCATATTCTCTCCCCTCCGCGTGGTCTCTCTCTTCTCTCTCTCTCTCTCTCTCTCTCTCTCTCTCTCTCTCTCTCTCTCTCTTTCTCTGTCTCTCTCTCTGTGTCTCTGTGTCTCTGTGTCTGTCTGTCTGTCTGTCTGTCTCTCTCTCTCTCTCTCTCTCCCTCTCCCAATAAAGCTCTGGAAAGGTAACCATGGCTCGTGATTCTTCCGCCACGGCAGCATCCATTGCTCTCTGCCGTCGGCATGGCGGCCAGCCATGAGCACAGCCACTTAACCAACAGCAAGTCCCGCGGTGCAGCTTGTGAGTCATCACCCGTGTTGGGGTAACTTTTCAGAAATGCCATTGTCTACGTTGGAGTCATCTAGCTACTATAAGAAACCCCTTACCCATACTCCTGTAAATGACTCCTATAAATTCATTGATTCACCAAGTTGGACATTGGGAGAATCGTTGCTGGTTAATTTTATGTGGACTTTGGTCTGTCATTGGTTCCCTATCTAGGGTGAGGAGGTCATTGTTTTCATTTCCTACAGAAAAGTCACGCTAAAGGAAGGAAGAGACCTTTTCTTCAGTAGTGTGGTCACTGGTAAGGTGTCACCGCCCCTGACAACACCTCCTCACCCATGCTCCTTCAAGGGATCTTAAAAGAAACTCATTGGTTCACTAAAAAAAAAATCCATTTGGTGGTGGCGCACGCCTTTAATCCCAGCACTCAGGAGACAGAGGCAGGCAGATCTCTGTGAGTTCGAGGCCAGCCTGGGCTACAGAGTGAGTTCCAGGACAGCCAGGACTATACAGAGAAACCCTGTCTCGGAAAAAAAAAAAAAAAGAAAAAAAGTTTACCAGGGGTTAGAGGCTGCAGAGATGGCTTAAGAGAGTACTTAAGTACTTAAGAGTACTTGTTACTCTTGCAGAGGACCTGGGTTTGATTCCCAGCACCTACGTGGCAGCTGATAACTGTCTGTAACTCTAGTTCCAGGAGATCTAAATGCCGCCTTCTGGTCTACAGGCAGCAGGCATGCACAGGCTGCGTAGATATGCATGCAGACAAAGCACCCATACACATCAAATTTGTAAAAGATAAAAAGAGAAAGTAGGGCCGGGCGGTGGCGCAGACCTTTAATCCCAGCACTCGGGAGGCAGAGGCAGATGGGTCTCTGTGAGTTCAAGGTCAGCCTGGTCTACAGCCAGAGCTACACAGAGAAACCCTGTCTCGAAAAACAAAAAAAAAAAACAAAAAAAAAAAAAAGAAAAAAGAAAGAAAAAGAAAAGGAAGAAAAAAGAGAGAGAGAGTAGGAAGGAAGGACAGTAACAGGAAAAGAAGTCAGTCGGGGGAGGGGTACAGAGCCGTGACAGAAGAAGCAAGAATGATAAAAATACATTATATACATGTGTAAGAGTTTCAGAACTAAACCATTAACATATGGTAAGGACACAGCAGCCAACAGACAAGGCTGGGGTGTGGCTGCGTTGACAGAGTGCTTGCCTAGCATGTGCTTGCCTGGCATGTGCTCGCCCAGCAGGCACGAAGCCCTGAGGTCAACTCCAGCACGGCAGAAACTGGTGTAGGTCTGATCACAGCAGGAGGTAGAGGCAGGAGGATCAAAAGTTCAGTATAGCCCCTGGCTGTATAACAAGTTTAAGGCCAGCCTGGGCTACATGAGAGCCTGCCTCAAAAAATAAAAAGGTCTTGTATGCGTTTGTCAGGAGCTGGGTTTTTTGTTGTTGTTGTTTTGGTTTTTGTTTTTTTCAAGACAGGGGTTCTCTGTGTAGTTTTGGTGCCTGTCCTGGAACTCCGCTCTGTAGACCAGGCTGGCCTCCAACTCAGAGATCTGCCTACCTCTGCCTCCCAAGTGCTGGGACTAAAGGTGTGTGCCACCACCGCCCGGCTTGTCATGAGCTGTTTTGACAGTATGAAGCTTGAGACCACAGCCCAGCAATGAGGGTTAAGGACCCCAGACCACTCTTCTGTATCCTGAACACAGTTCACTGCAGAGAAGCAGCTTTACTCATCGGACTTACGTAAGTCAGGAGTGAGCCTTGTTTACCTTCCGTGAGACTAGACAGATTCCAAATTCCAGTTCTTTGCCTTATAAAAGCTTAGTCGACCTTCTTGTCCCTGCCAATCAAGCTTTGGATTAACTTCCTTCTCCCGGGTCTCTGAACTTTGGCCCATTCTCAGCTTGAACCAGTTCTCTCCCTCCTCTTCCTCAAAAGTCCCTCACAGATTGGGCCGGCTTCAGAGCCAGTGATTTCCCATTTACTGACCCCATCAACTCGCCGCCGTGTGTCTGCGGCTCACCCCACTTCCTCCCCCACAGCTCCTGTTTACTCCCACCTGAGAAAGAAAAACCCTGTTTGCCCTTGAGACCCTTGAAGATCTCATAGTCGGGTCAGGGCCGCTCCTCAGTGCGATGGTTCCTGCCCTCATAATTGCGATAGTTCCTTTTTACTAATCCTTACAATCCTGCTGCTGAGTCTAGTGTTGTTGGTCTCTTGTTCTCCGCTTGACAGTCT